TTCTGTGATTCTGTGATTCTGTGACAATGTTTGTATTCCTTCTGTCCTCTCTGGATAAAGAAAATTGAAAGCAGATTTTCTTGGAATTATGTACAGTTTCTTCTCAGTGATACTAATCATGATGTGACAGATTTATGCTTAGTTTGTGCCTCTGTAATGCTTTTGGAGAACATTGCTCCAAATCATATAGCATTATATCTTGTGTTAACTTTTGAAAGAGGGACTTCAAGTTTAAGTAGTTCGTCCTTCTATTAGGCCATATTAAATTCAAATAATGAAGTAATTATTTGACATAATGCAAATCTCCTGTTAGAGATTGGCATGTCAGTCATAATGTTGCCAAGAAAACCTGAAAGACTCCATAAATAAGCAGCAAGCTTTCAGGTGTATGTGCAAAGAAGTGTGGGTTGCAGAAGTGTTTCTGGTGATCTGAGTGTCTTCCCACAATCAACAGAGAGCTCTGACAGTTAAGCTTCCTTATTAAATTATTTCAGTGCTGTTGAGTGAAAAGTAAAGCATGGATGAATTTAGGAAACAGAGAAAGAAATAGTACATTAGTGGATTAAAGACAGCAGCTGTATATTGTATATTAGCAAAGCACAGTTGTACGTACTTGACATTTTGCATGAGAATTGTAGCATTTGGTTTAAACTTTTGCTATCCTTGCTCAACTTCGGATTCTTCTGCAAACTTGTTTTAAAGTCTGGGAATTCAGATTAGTCATAATCGTGTCATTTATTCTGCTGTGGCTGTTGGAGAAGTAGTGATGAACTAGCTGTCAAGCTTCTTCTGAAGTGTAAGGGGAAGAGACGAGTAGTCAGGAGGCACCATACTTGATAGGCCTTTCCACAGGGATGTGGTGGGCACTTGGCTGAGTAAGTGAGGGGGAGAACAAGATATAAGGTGTACGTGTGGCTTCTTCATAGGTTGTAAAACCAAGGCACTGTTCCTCTGCTCACTCCATCACATAAGTTGCTGGACTGCTGGGGTCTGTGATTGTGTCCTTTTTGGAGGCTTTGCTAATCTTGGGGAAAAATAAAGAACATCTAGTAAAACAACTGTACTAAAAGCAAATTTAAGTAGCAAAGGCTGTAGCATATATTCTTCTTGTCAGCGACATGTGGGTGATAGATTAACTGGACATACTGTATCTTTGGTTGGTATTCCCTAATATTTGCCAACGGATTTGTGGTTGCACAGCAGATTTAGCAAGGCAAAAAATCGGTTCTCTTCATTTTTTCACGATTTCTTGTCTCAAACATTTTTCAATCTGCAGTTTGATTTGAAATGTCTTAAATTATTTTTGGCAGAGACATGAATCTGATGGATGTCATGCTGTCACAGATTTCATACTGTCTCATGACAGCATAGTCTGAAATAAAAAATAGGTTGACAAAATGCTTCAGATAGTTTTAGACAAAGCCAAAATTCTTTGTAATTTTCAAAATATAATTTTTAATTTGAAGCTCAGAAGGCAATAAAGCTGACAATAACTGGGGAATTAAAGCAACTGTTTTGCGTTTGAGAGCAGTGAAATAAGTTGCTATCAATGGCAAGTGCAAAGCTTTTCCTAGCTGTCTTGGTTTTTTTGGGTTTTTTTAGCAATATTCTATACAGTGGGTTTACAACAGCATTGAAAGTGCACAGGAAGATCTTCAGAAAACAAACACCAAGCCCTCTGGAGATGACGGAGGAGATGCCTTTGACTGCAAAGTGGAAGGTATGTGATGCCTGTTTGATTTTTGTTTTGCTCAGTGGGCAGTGGTTTTGTTTTCAGAGGGAAAACTGCAAGCAGACTGTAAGATGTGTTTTACATAAGGGTTTGCTTTTTATATATTCTGTAAATTATGTATTCTGATATAAAATTTACATGCTGTTCTCTGAAAATTATATTTCCCACTTTGAGAAAAAGCTGCTGTGAACACTTTAGGGAGAATCTGTTCAATTTTCATTCATAGGACACATAATCATAGGAATTACCTGATTTGTTTTTATCACTAGTAGTCATTTAAGGCTAGATTAGATGCATTGGTCACTACTGCATGAGAAATAACAATTCAACTGTCCTTCAGATTATTTTCAGGCAATTAACATTTAGATAAACCTGCATTCTCATGCATCATGGTAATTAAAGGCAGTTAACATGTGAACTGTATTTATATTCTTTGGGTAAATGCTGATATCGAGGTTTCATTTCTCAGCGTTTACAGTTTTCATGGTGATTTTCTTCTAGTTTATTTAGAAGTTTTCAGTTTCCTTTTTTTCTTGCTTTTTTATGTCTCTGGTTTATAAATTAAATTTAATTAGTTGCCTTCAATAACTGTAAAGAGAGATTATTGTGACTTTTTAGTTCATGCCTCTTTAGTAGTCTAGTATTTTAGCATTCATAAACCTACTGGTATTCTGACTGTAAATCATTCAGCTCGTAGCTGGGTTTTTTGATGAATGTTTTTAAGTAGAATGATCAGAGCATACCTATTTCTGCAGTGTTTACCTATGCCCTTTTTAGTTTGTTTAGCGGTCAACTCTCTTCAACTGATTTTTGTTACTTTCTTTATTCTAGAGGTAATTGACAAGTTTAACACCATGGCAATAATCGATGGGAAGAAAGATCATGTGAGTCTCACTGTAGACAATGTTCATCTGGAGTATGGAGTGGTTTACGAGTATGACAGCACGGCTGGAATAAAATGTCACGTGTTAGAAAAAATGATTGAACCAAAGGGATTTTTCAGCTTGACTGCAAAGGTATGAAGCAATTCTTGCATGTATTAATTCTAACGATGCTTAATACCAATGAGGCAACATCTGTCTTTTCCTCATTCTTAGGATTATATGTATTTCATTTAATATAATTGGTCACCTTTGTCCCTTTGACATTTTGGGGGATGATTGTGTATGCAGGAAGCAAAATAAGCTAAGGTCTGGTTATAAATTGAGTCTCTAAACTGAACAAATGTTAAAGTACTTTATAGTCTTCCACTGCTCCTGCTCCTTTCCTTTTTTTTTCTTAATTATCAAATGAAACTTCAAAGAAAGCCAGAGACACACTGAAATGCCAAAACTTTGTGAAGCTAGACTGTAGTTTCCAAATGTTTAATTTAATCAGAATTGTATGTGCAACTTTTAAAATACATTTCAGTAAGAGTAACAGGAGTAGCACAACAGATTTCTGTGTCTTAAAATAAAATGAAGCTGTGTATATACAGGCGCACACATTGGCAAAATCACAGAGGAAAAAACCAAGTGCAATTTTCGAGTTTACTTTAAAGTTTTTTCTTTGTGAACGTTTCCAAATGGTAAAAGCTGAGACTGCTATGAATGGGATCTGAAAATTTTTCATTTATAGCTAATGTTGTCTGGGTCAGATTGACAAATAATACAGTAATATAGCTCTTTTACAAGGTTTCTTTTTATCTTTTCACACACATATGCATACTAACAGAGTACACTTCATAAACATATGAAAGCCCAAACTTTTGAGGAGTATATCGATGTCTGAAAGTTTCTTTTTCTGTTGATGTTTTCATCAAAAGTGTAAGCTGAGGTACTGATCTCTTACTGAAATGACTGTGGCATTGCGGCACGTGTTTCCTCTTCCCAATCTCACTTTGGAGCAGGCCAGGTTGACAAACAGAGGAGTAACTTGCAGCAACATCATGAGATTTGCTAGAACTGGTCTAGTTAGGACTTAAGGTCATTGGCCTGAAAGATGTTAATTCTCGCTGTAATTACATTTTCATATAAAATATTTAAGGTATTATTTCCTAACCACTTAAGGAATATATTTCCATTGTTGCATATGGAATAGTTAAGTAAGGAAATACTTCCAGCATCCTGATTCTAGACTTAAATAATACAGTGTCATGCATTTTTACACGTCTCTACTCTGCATCATAACTAGTAGTGGAGTGAAGTAATCATGGACTGCTTTCCTGTATTGTGCAAGTTTTTGTGTTAATTATTATGATGAAAAAATACCCAAAGTTGTGCTGCAAAAGTTACTGGTTTTGAATGTACTTATTTTAATGTACAACTACAAAAAAACCACCCCTTGAATTATTTCCATTTGTATCATTAATTAGACCTAACATAAAAGAAGCTTAAAAGTGTGACCAAAGTGACGTGGGTGTTGTAATACAGTAATTAAATGCTGGAACAAAAGAGATAAAGGCTTTCCTTAATTTGTCCTGGCAGGGGACTGAGAAAAAAAATTCTCTCCGAATCTAGTCATTTTTAATCTCTGGCTTCTTAAAAACTTCACTCCAAAATTTCGGCACATTGTCATTTTTTTCTAAACTCCTTGGTCAAGCTTATAAATTGTATATTACATCTGTGATGGTGGATAGTATAATAATGAACTGTGAGAGAAGTGAATTACAGACGTAAGTCCCAAGATGGATTAATGTTGCATGTGTAGTTTTTCCAGACTTCTTTGATAATCTCTAAAATGTGTGCTTTTTCTTAATCTGGATTTGGGGTGCCTCTGTTAGAAAGTTATTTTTGGTGCGTTTTTCAAACACGTCTTCACAGTTGAACCCAACCAGGAATCTCTCAAATTCTGTAACACAGTGCATTTCAATGCCTGAAAAGTAACTCTTAACTTCAAAAAGGGCTATATACTACTCTCATCTCTTTAACATGCCTATTTTCAGTTTTCTGTCACCATTATTTGCTGGTGCTATTTCCATCATAGCAAGACTTCAGTCTTTGCTGGGCAGTAGAGCTTATTCTGTTCGCTATTTCCTGTTTATGTATGCAGAATATACAAGAGAATAGCACTCAGCTTTCTTGTATGCTTTTTAATGTGTTAGTATTGCTTATACTGCCAGACCAAAGTTTTGCTACAAGTAATGAATTAATTCATCCACTTTGCATAATGTGTGCTGTTCACGTAAATACAGCAGATAATGTATTTCAGAGGAGCCATAGTGGTTACATTAGTAGGAAATTAGTAGTAAATCCATTATGAGACAATATCATGAGAAGGCAAATAAAAGTACTTATAATGGGTGCATCTTATGCAGGGGATAGATTTAAAGAAATCTCTTTGCTTCTGAAGTCTCATTAATTGTTGTTATGCAGCATTGACTGTAATGTTAAAAGGCAACTGATTATCAGGCTTTTTCAGCTTTAATTATAAGGGATGATAAGTAAGGATTTTAAGTACGGGGTTATCTTAGTCATCTTATTTCATAACGTACTGCTCTTGTTTTTATTATCGTAGATTCTTGAAGCACTGGCAAAAAGCGATGAACATTTTGCGCAGAATTGCAACAGCCTCAGTTCCTTAAATGAAGTGATCCCCACTGAGCTTCAAAGTAAATTCAGTGTTATTTGCAGTGAGAAAATTGAGCACATCTACCGAAGAATCTCTAGTTATAAAAAGGTATGACTGGCATGTCCTAAGCTTGGTGATATTTTACTTTTAAGGGGAAAACAGAGGAATGTGGTACAGTTTGAATCACTCTTCAACTTGTCTAGTGCAATGACAAAAACATGGCCGAAAGTTTTGCTGTTTTGAGGCGTGAATGCCTAAACTGAGTAATTGCATAAATTGTTTTCAAACTGTGCTCTTTATTTTCCCTTTTTTAGACACTGGATAGAATGTATCCTTTCTTGTTTGCCATGATACAATCAACTGCGTATTTCCCACAAAAGGCCCAGCATTCTTGTAAATGCCTTAAACCAATACTCTAAATAAAGCAATAACAGCAGAATTATTTTTTTTTCCTTCTAGTGCATCTTAATTTTAAGTACCAAATTGTTACCCTTTATTCATCTTTAATGTCCTTCAAATTGGTGTGACTTTTTCTAGCATGGCTATTAATAGTAATAGCTCTGTAAATTGTTAGATTAATTTGGGTTAATAAAACATTACATCACAGAAAAAGGAGAAAGTACTGATGTTCATACACTTGAGATCTAGATTAATGAGATGTGAATGAATAAATAACCTGGAGAATGATCTGTAGTTGCTGTCAATGTATTTCTCTGTAGTTGTTTAGCTGAGCAGGGCGTAACTGAATCAACCATTTGCCAATTCATTAATGCAGATTTATTTTCTCATCCTGGCTTCTAATTCCTCTCCCATACAACCTAATTCTTGGAGTTTGGAACTAGTTTGAAGTAGGTCCAAAATGGCTACATAGAACTGGCTCTGCCCTCTCTTATCTCAGTTGGAGATCTGAGTTGTGACATTTACAAACCGACCTATTCTGAGAGTTAATGTGCAAAAAATATGAAAACAAAATAAAAGGAAAACCAGGTTTAGTGTAGAAGCTTCAGACAGTTCTAAAAGTTGCATGGAAAAGAACAGATAATGCTTTCTTGTTTTTCAAAGGAAAATGAGGGAAAACTGTACTGAAAACCTGTAGCTTCAGTAGGATGAAGGCCGAAAAGTGGCTTTCCAAAGACTTCAAGGTGCTCTGCATCAAGAAATGGAATAAATCGATGAGCTGGGTCACAGAAGGAGACATCAAAAGCTTCTGATACTGCATTACCAAACATCTGATCTCTCCGTTGTTTGCCTGAATTATAAACCTCTGTGTTTTCAAACTTGATTCAAAATCAAAATATCTTTTTTTAAAAAAAAATAATTTATTTTCATATTAATAATAGTATATTAGAGTTCCAGTAACTTATAGATGGTTTATACCTTTTCTGTAGGTATTTCTAAAAATTTCAGCATAACAGCAGGCCGAGACAATAAATGGAATTTTATTGTGTTATACTGTATATGAAACGTACAGCCTTGGGGAACTTTTCATAGTGCTTATACTGTCCATAAGCAGATGTTGCTGATACAAACTTCACTTTCAAGCTCATCAGTAGTTTCACAGTTACAGCTTTTAATGACAATTAGTAATGCAATGAATTTCAGGAGTAGATGCGTCATTTTCTTGGCAAGGTAAAGGTAACCATAGTTACAGGAGACTTTTGAAGTGCCTGAGCCCGCCTTGGCTCCTGGTTTCACTGTGAAAGTTTGAATTCTATAAATAGAAACCCTGTAGATTTCTGTAGTTCCTACTGTTATTATTATCATCAGAACATTTTGCTCATAATAGACCTGGAGTCCAGTGCCATGAGTCCCAGATGTTTCTCAGTACATATATGAAAAGAATTTTGGGCCTGACTTATGACCTGATTAAATCATAGCCAGGCATTTGGTCTCTCTGGAACAGGATGTGTGGGAGATTGAGATGTGAAATATGTGCTGCTTGCAGGAACACTTTCATCGTTGAATGTCCTTAGTGCCCTTCTTAACTATTTGTACATTCTTCAGCCTTTGAACAATTCCATAATTGGATTTCTTGTAACCTTCCAGATCTTGTTCTGATATAAAGATTTTTTTAATGTAATTAGTCAAATGTTCATCAGGCTGAAGTAATGTGACACCAAAATAAACAGAAATCTAAATCCCAGCACAGAAAAATTTTATTACTCAGAAGGGATATACCTTTTTTCAACTGAAGTGTTAGTCAAAACTTGACTGATTGAATTTGTACTGACATGTATTGGGGAAGGAGCTTTGCAAGTTAACTATTTGAAAATATTCTAATGTATGAGCAGATCTCATAGTGGAGGTAGGTCTGTACAGTATTTTGACTGGAGAGATACTGTGATTAAAATACCAGGGACTTGGAACTGATTACATCTTTTCCAGAAAAAAATCTCCCCTAACAACAAACTGCACTGGAAAGGACACATTTTGACAAAATTCCTACTTGTGACTGACAAGTCCAATGGCAGAGCTTGATCTCATGACTTTTATGATTCTGAAGTAGGTGTATTTTTCTAAGTGCCCAAATTTAGTACAGTTCAGTCTTAGCCGATTTTGAGTTTACATAATCTCATCTTAAAAACCAAGTAACTCTAAGCCTGTTCAAGAGTGTGCACAAAGTTTCAGATATTATAATGAAGGAGATGTGGCTAAGCACTGTGTTAGAATTAGGCCATAAAAGAGAGGAGAAAAAAAATGTTAATCATTGCTGAGCTGATATGCAGGGGACAGAAGAGGTCAAGGACTAGCAAAATCTGCAAAATATGTATTTGCAATTTTTGTGTTCTAATGTTTATCGGCTTCACAGAATCACTTAAAATCACAGATTGGTTGAGTTTGAAAGAGACCTCTGGAGATCTTGTCCAACCCCCCTGCTCAAGCAGGGCCAGCTAGAGCTGGTTGTGCAGGACTGTGTCCAGACAGCTTTTGAGTATCTCCGAGGATAGAGACCGACAACCTCCCTGGGCAATCTGTGCCAGTGCTTTGCTACCCTTGAAGTGTAAAAGAGTTTTCTGATGTTCAGAGAAATCCTCCTGTGTATTGGTTTGTGCCCATTGTCTCTGGTCCTGTCACTGAGCACCACTGAAAAGAGCCTGGCTCTGTCCTCTTTGCACCCTCTCCTCAGGTATTTATAGACATTGATGATATCTCCGTGAGTCTTCTCTTCTCCAGGCTGAACAGACCCAGAGCCCAGAACGGGACACAGAACTCCAGATGTGGCCTCACCAGCATTGAGTAGAGGGGCAGGATCACCTCCCTCCACCTGCTGGCAATGCCTCTTCTAATGTAGCCAAGGAAACCACTAGGGAGGACTTCATCCTTCCTGAATATCAAATTCATAATTCATAGCTTTCAATTCTGTCTTTATTATAGCTTCAGGAAAACGTTTCAGAAATTTTTGCAGGACATTGACTTGAAAACATCTATGTCAGAAGTATTTATAAAAGTCGTGTGCAGTACAGCACTGGATCATAGAGTATTTCCAGACTTTCTCCCCAGGAAGACATTTAATGTTTTATTATGTTGCAAGGAAAATAAGTTCTATCTACTTGTTACAAGGCTATTTACATTCATAAAATGTATCATTTACTTCAGAAACGAACCCTTTAAAAATATAAAATGAAAAATATTTTTTCCTTCCCGTTATAGAGAAAGATGGCAATTATGAAGTCAAGGCATCTGAAGTCAAGGATGCCTGAAATATCTTAAACTTTTGTTTTCTAGTCAGGTACATGAGTTTTGTCAGCCAAGTGCTGACACATCAAAAGCTGCTAATCAAAATTTTGTTTCCTTTCTCGCTTCTAGTTTTCAAGAGTATTAAAAAACAGAGCTTGGCCTACCTTCAAACAAGCGAAGTCAAAGATTTCACCACTTCACAGCAGTGATTTCTGTCCAACCAATTGCCATATCAATGTGATGGAAGTGTCTTACCCTAAAACCTCAACTTCCCTTGGTAGTGCCTTTGGTGTACAGTTAGACAGCAGAAAACATTCTTCCCATGAGAAAGAAAATAAAAACACTGATCAAGGTAAGTCAGTTGAGCTTGAAAGAACTACTTTCAATGCTTATGATATAGAGTCTTAAAAGGTAACTGGTTTAGGTTTATGTCCCAAATACTAAAATTAAGGACAAGCCTTTATGAAATCTCCATATTTTCAATATTTAGGTTTATTTTATGGCATAATAAAGGCTAGTCATAATTTCACAATAACTTTTTCCTTAAATAGCTTGACTTTGATATGCAAAATAAAATGGAAAATTGAATAATCCCATGAAGTTTTAAGAAGGAAAATACTTCAATATCTGTTAGATATTTTACTAACTTCAAACTTTACTTTGAACAAAAGATAATGATGTAACCTTTGGATTATTCCCAGGTAAACTGAATCCCATGATTTATGTCCAACACACCATTACTACTATGGCTGCCCCTTCAGGACAGTCTCTTGGACAGCAGGAGGGCCATGGTCTGAGGTACCTCTTAAAAGAAGAAGACTTAGAAACACAAGATGTCTATCAAAAATTGCTGTTCAAATTACAGGCTGCACTGAAAGAGGTGGAAACATGTGTCTTTCAAATAGATGAGTAAGTAAATGTTACCATCTGGACTTGCCTTTAATTTTCCTATTGGAGATACCATTAAGTCTGGATATCCTTTTTGTGTAGTGTGGGATCAATGTTGACTTCAAAGAGAATTGAAATATGTCAAAGAATTTAAGTGTAGGTAACATTATATTTTTTTTCTTTTTCTTATCATCCCTGATTTTTTCCCACTTTAGTTTGTAGCTTTTCTCTATAATGCAGAATGCTAATTATTTTGAGGTGAGAGAATTATGAGGCCCACGTCTCATCTAAAATTTCACTAGGAATGGAAACAAAGGGCAGAGGTATGAAAACAGCTTTCCTTTAACTCTTCAGGTATTGCATAGTAGTCCCGAAGATGAATTTTTAGATAAAGCATTTTTCACACATGGGAAGATTATTAATTTCTTAGACATTTTCAAAACCAAATTTGCCTTATTGAAGAATGGTGGATCTGGGGAGAGCAACGCTTGAGTGATTAGGACACTTGGCTTAAGTGTGGGAGACCCAGAGTCTCATCACAGTTTGTCCTAACTCAAGACAAGGATTTAAAGCTTGCTTTTGCTCTTGTGAGGTAAGTGTTTTGACTGCTAGGCTATTTGTTGCCTTGGGATGAGGGAGAAGGGGGATGATAAGTGTTTCAGTTTTGAAAGTTACCATATATAATGCAAATATCAGAAACTATTCACTTTGAAAATAATTAGTGTAATTTTCTGAGTTTAAAAGCCAGTCTTTCATGATCTCCAGTTTGATAGAGTGGTGCATCATTGCTTTTGCTGTTATTTTGAGGACTGTACAATGATTTGTCCTTTCACAGTTATTTCAGAGTGGATGTATTTTGTACTGTTTTAATAGTAATCTAATGTAATGGTTACAGAGTAATAAATAATTGTAACGTATTATATACTGCAATAAGAATGAAAGTAAGAGTAACCTGATTTTTTTCTTAAAGAAAACATTGTGTTCTGTGCAATAGTTCTACTAATTATCATGCTTAAAAGGAAGTCAGATAATTAAATTTAAGATAATTTCAGTGCTTGGGTGCACTTAAAAAAATGACTGACTGTAAAGCTTGTGTTGTCACTCTTCCTCAAGGAAGTTAGAAAATTGTTTATGGAAGTTCAGTCATTATTTCAGGAAGTTCCAGTTACCAGTCTGCCATGTCTTTTCCTTTCCAGTACCTTGAGCTGATGATGCAAAAGCACAGGAAATTCTGAGCCTGTCTTTCATATAAATGTATATATAAATACACACACAAACACACACACGTACATATTGTGTACACAGGTATATACATATATACACACACATATATTAATTCTGAGTCATGTGGTTGTGATAGTAAACACAAGGGTTCACTTTTTTCTTTCCTGAATTTCTCATACACTGACTATGTAGCAGTTCTTGTATACGGTTCACAGATTTATTTAGCAGATTTTATTGGGTTGGCCAAAAAGTGATTGCATCTTTTTAATAATTGGACATACATGTCTTGAACTGCAACTAACTTCATTTTTAACTGCAAATTCATTATGGCATCTGACAGTTCAAGCTTGTTTTAGAAAAAGAAAGCACACAATTTCGTTAACAGTATTTATTTGGTGTTGATTTCAAAGTGGAAAATCAAAAGGAACATTTTTGTCATATTTTGTTGTATTACTTCTGAAAAGGACAAAATGTTGTGCAAGCTCGTAAAAAGTTAATGTGATGTGTATAGTGAAGATGCCTTAAAATTATGTCAGTGTCAGCATTGGTTTGCTAAATTTCGATCTGTAGATTTTGATCTTAAAGATGCACCACGCTCAGGAAAGACAATTAAAGTTGACAGTGACACAATAAAGGCATTGAACAACTCCAGTAGGCGTTTAATGACATGAGAGATTGCTGATAATCTTAACGTATTGAAATTGAGTGTTGAAAACCATTTTAAACAACTTGGATATGTTGAGAAGGTTGATATTTGGGTATGATATGATCTCAAAGAAATTAATCTCACTAAGCGCATTGACATCTGCAGTTGTCTCTTGAAACATGAAGAAAACAATCCATTTTTGAAACATATGGTAACAGGCAATGACAAATGGATCATCTACAACAATGATGAATGAAAAAGATCGTGGAGCAACTGTGATGAACCAGCTCAAAGCACTTCAAAAGCAGATATTCACCAAAGGAAGGCGATGCTGTCAGTCTGGTGGGATTTCAAAGGTATTGTGTGTTTCACGTTGTTTCCAAGGAACCAAACCACTAATTTGGATGTGTTCTGTCATCAACTGGATAAATTAAATGATGCCATCAGACAGAAGTGTCCAGAATTGGTGAATCGCAAAGATGCTGTGTTTCTCCGTGATCACGCTAGACTGCGTATGAGTTTAGACACTCGTCAAAAATTGTTGCAGCTTGGATGGGACATGTTACCACATCCACCATATTCACCAGACGTGGCACCATCAGACCACCATTTGTTTCTTTCTTTACAAAACACCTTGAATGGCAAAACCTTCACTGCTGATGAGGATATTAAATCATTCTTGGAACTGTTTTTTGCTGACAAAGATAGGAACTTTTTTGAGTGTGGAATCATCAAGTTGCCTGAAAGTTGGCAAAAGGTAATTGAACAAAATGGACACTATATTGATTACTACAGTTTTTGTTTCCTATGAAAAATTTGCATTTCATTTACCAAGAAAAAAGCGCAATGACTTTTTGGCCAACCCAAAACCTTTTACGGCTTGTAAGACTGAGACTTTGCATTGCTTTGTTCCTCATGGACTGCCAGTGTGTAATTGCTGTGGAGAAAAACGGTTCTGTACAGGAAACAGGATAGCCAAGAGACCTGCTTAAAAGTGCTGAACAGGGAAGCGGGACTATCTGGATGTGAGCAATTCAGCAGTACTGGTGTATTTTGTTAGAACGTAGTTATGGCTACGAATTAACTCTTGAGGGAGAAGTTAGAACTACTAAGAAACAAAAGACAGAGTATATAAGATAGGATAATCAAACAACTAGGTTTTAATTAGAAATTTTAATACTTCAGCAGCTAAGAGTATATGCTTAAGCATACCAGTCCTTGAACTTTTTTACAAAGACTGTAGAACTTCTGTTTTCTGTTAGGGCATGGGCAACAATAAAATTGATGTCTTCATTTACTGAGTTGCTTATTATTATAAGCAGCCTTCATTATTATTATAATTTTTTTCAGAACAGAAAATATGAATACAGGATCACAATTCTAAATTTATATGATACCGAATGATAAAAAAATTGGGCTACTAAAGGACATTTTGGTATCCTTTATAATAGTACTGTTATAGAAGCTGTTGCTCTTTCCTGTTACTAGGTGTCTCTGCCCTGCACTGAGGTCAGCAATGGTCCCTCTCACAGCCCCTTCAATCCTGGGACAATGTTGCTGCCTAACCTCTCCTATCTGTTAGTGAGAGAAAGGGAATTGAAGAACTACTGTGTTTCACCTCAAGAGCAGGTCTGTGAGAGCTTGTGAATTGTGGGAAGGGGATGTCTGAGAGAAGATTGTGTTATACTGGCATTATCTTCATAACAACTTTTATCATGGCTTGTTGATGAGATTGGCTTGAATAAGAAGTACAGTACTGATGGAGAAAGGGAAATATGCACAAAAAAGACATATATCCACTTTCCACAGCCTCTCAAATTCCATTGCCTCCTCGTTCAAACATTTTAATAGTATCACAGTGCTTCTTTAGTAGATGCTAAGTGTTACACAGAAACAAGTACATCAAGTTTTTATCTGTATAGTGAATCTGCTGTGTTCTTGGTTCACATGCACTCAATATGGTCCCAGTTGTTTTTTGGAAAGCTGTCTATTGGGAGACTATTTTCTGAGCCTACGGGGATTGAGGAAAAGGCAAAGCAGCTCACATGTTGCATAGGTTTCTTGTTACTGCCTGTGGCTATCCTTTTTTAATGCTTTGATTGACCATAGCAGATTTTGTTTGTTTCTGACATACTTTTAGGATTGTGTTGATTTGGCTTGTATGTAGGATTAACTCCACATGTGAGGATTTTTTGATTGAGATTTAAATTTCTCTGTTTCATGGTAATTTTATTTGTAGTTACAAGAGACTTTCTTGCTGTTAGTTACTACGCATACACACATTTCTCCTCTGCGAGATAGGTGTCTAAGATAATTTTGCTTGGGATAGATTCATCTTCAAAGAAAATATAATATGTGTGTGCTGTCTTTAAAAAGAAAAAGAAAACACTTTGAAAAATAAAAGTCTATTTAAGCATGATTATTGTGGGTTTTAGAGTCCAGGTTTGGGGTTTTGTGTTTTAGACTCCCTGAATTTGGTTTCTAAGAGCACTTCAGTGACCTCAGGAACTACCAGCTCCAGAACTCTGTTATTCACAGTTCCAGCGTTCGTTCATGGTAGTCCAGCAAAAAAAATTTTCATAGATAAAAGAGCCTGCCTGCTGGGAGAAAGTGAAAAGCTCCCTTAGGAAAAGCTCCAGCTACCTTCATCAGTCTTTTACTGAGATCTTGGCAGCAATGACTAAACAGACACATAAAAGAAGAGGATATAATAGTCTGTCTGTTTGTCTTGACAAATAATTACTCAGGGGAGGATATTTTCAGAAGCTGAAATTGCAGTCCATTATACTTGCTTCTTACTCTTGATTATTTTCTTGCAACAACAAAATCCACAAGAAGTTACCAGAATCAATCTGCCCGAAGCCCATTTCTGTTTTCCTAGAAGTGGATGATAAAGGAAACACAAGAAAAAGCAAAAGTATAGATTAAACCTTGTCATTATCTCATCTTATCTTCCAGCAGACAGTGCTTGGAATGGACCTTTTATTTTAAGAGCACTGCTAGAATGATCTGCTGTGGATTTGTTTAATCAATTTTTGACGTCCTTTTGTATTTTCTTTTTCAGTTTTACAAGTACTAAGAACTGATTTTCTGAGGTCTACATTTTCATAACACATTTATGTATGCTCTAGCAGGTAGATTGAAACTGACCACTGCTGTAAAATCTTTCTTCCCATCCTCATGGAATTCTGCTAACTGGTGACTTGTGTGGTAGGAAAGAGCTGAGTTGTGATTTCACTCTGATATGAAATGTTAAGGCATCATGTAGCCCAAATGATGTCTGTCTAGTGGATGAGTGGGCTTAAAGTTCAGTAAAACTATACCTATAGTTTTTCTATATTTCCGTTACAGTTCAGATCAGTACCTTTTCCTATATGTAGCAGAAATACCTCTCTCTCATTTGCTCTTAGTCAGAGAAAGTTATGCAGAAATGATGAAAGGATTTGCTAAAAAGCTTCACTTATCATCCTGGTTTCCCTAAAGCTAATGTCAAAGCTTATGTTAACATCTATCAAGTCATTATTTCAATGAGACCAAGCTTGATATACCACTTGAGGTATGCATTCATTGCAGTACTGTCAACAGACAGCATTAGAGGGATAATCTACCCTATGGTGTTTTCAAAGTATGTGGTTTCTTAATTTCTTTCTTAAAACTCTGTTCATCCCTGAGAGTTAGGGTATTATTTGTGTATACTCAAAAATGTTATAGCTGAAGAAGTTGTTGAACATATTGTGTGTTCTCTGTGCAAAAAGTCACTGCTCTAAGTCCAGAAACTTCAACTTTCAAGAACAGCTTAGATCACGTTGTTTTCTGGTAGATCATCTTTCTCAAAAGAGCAGAGCAGTTGATAGCTCAGTACTGATTTAACTGTAGCTGAACAAACTTTGTTAGGATTAAGAATGAATTCAACTGGCAGAGATCCACAAAATGAAGATGGAGCTTTAAACCACTTAAAATCAGAATTCCACCCTTGTGTAATTTAACAATGCTAATACCTGTATCTGCCTTTTTCTAGTAATGGTTTTAAACAAGAAAAGGGTAGATTTAGTTTGGATATTAGGAAAAAATTCTTCAACACGAGGGTGTCAACTGGAACAGGTTGCCCAGAGAGGTAGTAGAGGCCCCATCCCTGGAGATATTCAAGATCAGGCTTGATGGGGCTCTGAGCAACCAGATCTGGTGACATTGTCCCTGCTTACTGCAGGAGGATTGGACCACATGATCTTTAAAGGTCCCTTCCAAGCCAGTATATTCTGTGATTCTATGTGTGGTGAGAAATAAGAGTAAAGGAAGGAATTCTGAATGCTACCCTTTAATAACAACGAGCAGCGTTTTTGTTCACAAAAGATGTACTTCTCCCATAGTTTCCCTTCAGAAGGAAGAATTGTGTGTAACAAAAAGATCTAACATATGCTTGAATCCTGCCATGTATTTGGTAGAAAGTCTGCTGACTGACAGTTCTGACAGCTCCTACAATAAAACCCTGCTGCTGTGTCTAAGTACTTTAAAGGAAAAAAAAAAGCTTAATTCAGTGTCTTTTGGTTTCAGGTGGCTAGAAGGTAGTTTTTGCAAGAAAAACACTTCCTTTCAAATCCAAATACTAGTTTGAAAACATCATTGTAATGGAGTAATTTGAGTAATAGGAATTAAAGGACAATTGCCCATTATAGCTGGTCTGATCTTGAAGGTAACTTAGAATATCTCAATATGAGTTAATCACCCAAAATATGAATCTTTTGCTTCCAGTGTGTGTGCATGTTCTAAATATAGCAGTCTGCACTGTTCTCTTTTCTTGACTGGATGTCACTTCTTTGCTCATCACAGAAGGTTGTAGATTAATCACCAGTTTTACTAGTGATGGTGGCTTAAACACCTTGAATGTCAGGAAATAGACAGGTATGTTAGTAAAGATTCGTAAAGTGCCTTAGTGAAATAGCTTGTGATGCATGGTGGCATGCATGGTACAGCGGTAATTCAGAAAATATATGTGTTTCACAGAGATATGGTTTTTTTGGTTTGTTTTCTTGATTTGTGCTGAGAAGTACATGGTTTGTGTTTAAAAATACTAATGTTAATGTAAAATTTGACCTCAAGTGTTCAAGAATGTGCTGTATTTCTTCCTCTACTGGTATCATTGCCTTCATACAAGATTGAGTATTTAGTAATGCTAATGGGTTTCACTGTTATACTTTTTAACAGCGAAATGTGTCACTTCCTTTGTTCAAATGGATATGGTTTGAGTTAAGATGTTCTCTTCACATATTATAAAATAATAGTTGGAGGACATTGGCAAGAAAAGTTATCCTGTTGTTAGTTCACTTTTGAAAAACATGATTTTTTTTTTCCCCACAGCCTTCTTTCTTCAATAACATATTCTCCCAAATCAGAACGTAAAACGCCTGAGCCTTTAGTGCCAGCAGACAGTGACAATGAAAAGGGGGAAAGGAATGGGAAGAAAGTCTGTTTCAGTGTAACAGGTGATGAACAAGAAGATTCTGGTCATGATACCATCAGCAACAGAGATTCTTACAGGTAACTCTTACAGGAACAAATACTTTATTTGTTAACTGAATCAAACCGTGGGTTTGTAGACTGTCAGGTGGCTCTGAAGAATATCAGAATATAATGATTCTGATATTTCTAACAGAGGAATAACTAGCATCAAGGTATGTTACAAGATGTGTAAAATAAACTCTTACAAATGCAGATTAGTTATTAGATCTTGGTATCCCTAACCTTTATAGGATATTGTGGCCAGAGCTTTAAAGCTTTACTTTAAATTACCTTTCTTATAAAAACTAGAAATAATTAATGTTATTATGTTCCTAACAAACAAAATATCTGCCATGGAAAGCAAGATGCCAAAGCCACCACTCTCGTGGATCTAAAGAAAAAAACTATCTGTTTTGCAACATACATTCCTTACCTTCCTCCACTCAGAATACTGTAGCATCATCTCATCCCTAGAATTTGTAATGGATCACATTTACTGTGAATTAAAATACAAAGAATTTTGAAAAGGAAGGAATAATTATAGCAAGCATAGGTCTTATAAAGATTATCTTTTGTTGCTTAGAGAGAGTTGGTTAACGACACGAGATAAAATCTAAATTAAAATTGTAGCTGCAAGTAAAGTAAGGGTTCATTATTTGCTCATTATCATGATTCATTATTATGCTCAGAAAGGAGAATCTCAGTGGAGTCATCGTTTTCTACAGAACACTGTGTTGCTGAGATCTCATTCATAAACTAGTATTTCATTACTGCAGCATGGTATGTAGGAGCTTTTTGTCAGAGTAGAAACAGAAATATACATATAAATTTGAACAGAAATAAATGTAGGGATAATTTCCCCAGATTAAGACCATCTTGTTTTAACCATGGTGAACATACAAGCAAAGTGCCTTTTAGGGGTACGCCCCATTAGGGGTTTGTGCATGTCCATGATGTGTTGAACTGAATGTGCAGGAGCTGCTCCAGTGGCCTGCACTTGCTCTGGTTGGGATGTTCCCCAGTTGGCACAAGATTTGTACGTGGAGAAAAAAGGTGTGACTTAGGACATGAGTGTCTCTTTGTTTAAAATATTTTCTTTATTCTGATTCCAGTCATTTACAGTCCATTCTGGCTGTTTAGGAATGATAAAATCTAGGGTTCCATATGTAGAGTAATCATAAAATCTGTGACTCACCAACTTTTTGTTGGAGTAAAATTTTTTGTTTCTTTGCTTAAATAATTATGTTAGGTAATACTTAAAATCTCCAGATCCCATTAAGCCACTGTGGATATTACTAGAAGTAGTAGACTAATTTCAGCTATTAGAATTCTTTGGTTTTTTTTTTTGTGGTAGAGTCTCATTCTAGACCTTGCAATACAACACAATAAAAAATGCAGAATGATAGAGCTAATACATCTAATCTGTTTCTCATTTTCCTGTGTTTTATTTTCTCATGCTTTGCACAATCCAGTTTTAAATAACCTTAATCTTCCCTTTGGAGACTTTAATAAGTGAATAGAGACAGTTAGAAAACATTTCTTAATATCCAGCCAGAAATTCTTAAAACTCCTTGGGACTGTTTGCCCTCTGTTAGGAACATGTTGTTACTGATGTATTTTCATCTACTTAATGGATATGGTTGTAATTATATCATATTACTTCATTTAGAAGTTTTCCCTATTCACTTACTTGGTTGGCTACAGGTCCAAAACATATACGTAAGTCAGTATGCCAAAACTAGTAAAAGATCAGTTCTGTGTTAATAAAAATAAAGAAAACAAGTAGGGAATGTATGGGGACATGTATAACTGTAGTGTTATATATAAAATATAGATACTTGTATCTTGGTGAATGAGTACACTCAATTCATAAACCCCAAATCAGATAATTATATATAAATATTCTTTAGGTACACTTCTACATTATCTTATATTCACTTGGGTTTTTAAGACTCCTTCCACTGGATAATTACTTAAGCATTTCCTCATTGAAACTAAATCATCTTCATGTGGCTAAATAACTCTGAAGACTTTGAATTCAAATTCATGTTCATAGGATTTTTAGTATAAAAGGCTATGGTTTAATCTGTTTATGCTGCAGAAGTAGGTATGTTCTCCATCTATTTTCTGTGGAGAACAATTTATTTTTGCAAGAAAAAAGCAGAAAAAGATTACACAGTTTAATCCCCAAATCTCTTTACTAGACCAATGAGGGTGACATCTTGACACTGAAGTCATGAATGTAAATGTCTATACATCTCTAACAAAAGGAGCAGCTGAAAGAGACAGGATCATAAACTATATTTTGGCTGGCAGGTAAAAGTAGTTTGTAATTTGAGTTTTGGTGCTACTCAAATGGATCAGATCTCTTCTAAACCCACTACGGACTCGAGTTTGCAAGCACAGATCAGAGTATTTAATCATTTGTATTAGTTATGGACTAGGAGTACAGAATTTAAATCTGGACTTACTAAAACATTTGAGGCCACAGTTTCAAAAACCATCACTTGTGTGAGAGAAGTTGATTGCTTTGCACTGAAAGTGTATATTTTCATTCTGCAAGTACCTGTTCACGTGCAAGGTGAAGGGAGACAATTGAATCATCTATTTTGGGAATCTGGTCCTCTGAGTCCTACCAGGATTGCAAATTATATGATAGCCTAAGTATAAGGATCTTTATTATTGATAAAGGATTGTACAGACCATCTCCTCATTCAAGTTAAAAGGGGAAAAGGGAAAGAATTTCCATAACTTTGATACAGAGCCTGTGTTAAAGGACATGACTTTTCTTTCTTTTGTGTGTGTGTGATTTTGTTTTTTTTCAAGTGATTGCAACAGCAACAGGAACTCCATTGCCTCATTCACCAGCATCTGTAGCAGTCAGTGCAGTTCTTATTTTCACAGTGATGAGATGGACTCAGGTATGTTTGGAAAAGTCAGCTATGAATCTGTCATCTGTTCCTTTTTATGTAGTTTTATTCTTTTCATTTACCTGGCAGTTTTGTTGGTTTTGTTTTAAAAATCACATCCTCCTTAGTAGTAGAACTGTATCATTTTGTTTATGCCTCGCTTGTGCTGCACTTAAGAATCCTTCAGTGAAAGAGAGCAGCATCTCTGTGAACAGACTGAATTAGTTAGAGGTCTTAGTCACTCCTTGCAACCGCTTTCAGACCTTGACAGTGCATTATGTTGCATGGAGGAAGGAGCATTTTAGGTGAGTGTAGAATGCTCTCCCAGTCCGCATCGGCGCCCGAATGGCAGGATACGGCTGTGTATGTTTGTAGGAAGGAATGTGAGACCACATGGAAGCATGTCCTTGTTTATGCCGTGACAAATTGAATTTAAATAAATGCAGCTGCTAATAGGAATGAAATGCGTTTAACTGCATGGAGTACAAGGTCAAATACACAGAGACTAATAATAAAGAAATATTTGCTCCAAGATGAGAGTTTATTATTTGGGAATGATTTAGGAAAAGAAAGAACTGGGCGTGTTAGTTGAATATGAGCCATCAGTGAGACTTGGCCATGGAGAAGGCAAATTTTATTCCTGTTTGCACCAGGGGAGGTATTTTCAGTTGGGACAGGAAAGTATTAATGCCATTATGTGTCTGAGATACCTTGTGAATAAAGCAATTCTAGACAGCTGCTTTCCGGAAGTCATACGCACTTACAGAGCTGAGTAGATACAGAGGGAAGAATGAAGGACATAAAGAGCTGTTAATAAAATAGGAGACCCAGAGTCTGTATCTTCAATTTAAGGTATAAATGAGCTGATACACGCTTGCGTAGCATCAAGGTGCTGAGGTGCCTAAAAGAATATGTCTGTGCTAGCCAAGTGCAAACACAGTGTTTGAGTTGATAAATACTGCTGCTCAGTGGAACTCCCACTCTCCTGATGACTTAATTTTCTCCTAGTTTCCAAGCTAACCTGGTTAAATCCAGATCAGGGCTCTCTGGCATCATGTTCCATCTGTTGCAATTAAAATCCTGTGATGAGTTATAACTTCTGGCTGTTAAGGACATCTAAAGGAGCTAAAAAAAAACAAGGAGAGAAAAGTGTTATTCAAGTGTTTCACTGACACAAGAAAAATGAGTCTAGTTTGACCATGAATAAATTTGGGTTATAAATTATCAAGTGGCTACTTCTTATCTGTCACTACAACAGCAAGGAGGAAAACCAGTTTTAAGCTCAATTTTTCACAGCTTTTGAAAGAGTTCAGGTTGTTTGAGAGAGTGAGTGACTGAGGGCAGTGACCTAGGAGAGTCCTTCTCCTTTGTAGTCTGTTAGGAAATTATATGGTATGTACTACTAAAAGCTTCATATCAAATACAGGATTTGGGTACTCTCATTAAATTACTGAAATTTCAGAATCATTTAATTAGTAAGAACATTAAGAGTGTGAATTGTCTGTACAGTCCGTATAAAAATTTAATGGTGAATGCATTTCAGTACTTTGTGGTCTGTTGTATTAAGTTCACACTACTTAACAATTTAGTCTGGTGTTTAGAATGTTCTCCAGCATAGAAGAATCATGTGTTCTGGTCACAGAATGGTTGAGGTGGAGGTTGGAAGAGTCCAATCCCCTGCTCAAGTAAGGTCATCTAGAGCAGGTTGTCCAGGACCATGTCCAGTTGGGTTTTGAATATAGTCCTTTCTCTAAGCTATTTCTGTGTTGAATGACTACTAAATGCAAAATATGTAGGGAGAACAGTTACTACAGTCCTGAAAGACTAAGCATCAGTCTGTGTGCAAAGCAGATTATCTAAGATGCAAAGATTTTGGAAAGTATGCTGAAATTTCTAAACAACATTTCATTTTAAAATATTTTTCAGGCGATGAGCTTCCCATAAGTGTTCGAATCTCTCATGATAAGCAGGACAAGCTCCATAGCTGTTTGGAGCATCTTTTTGGTCAAGTATGAGATTATTTTTCTTGCCTTTGATACTAGTGTCCATGTTTGAGCTAAGAAGTCTTTAGCAAATACTTCTTTTTCTTTTTACTTTTGCTTTCCACTGTTTACTGGGATGGTATGTATTTACTCATTCTCCTTCAGTTTTTTGTAAATAGTTCAAAACTGCAAATTAAACAGGACCTTAGATTTAGTCTAACATTCCTTAGCTTGTTGCTTTAACTAGAGCCATTAGGTAAGAAAGAGTCCAAATCTGCTTTTCTGTAGTCCATGTGTCTTACAGAAAAAATTTCTAATTGTTGCTGTAAAAAACATCTTTCTCAAAGAACCTTGACCCCAACAGGTCGATTCAATTGTCAACCTTCTGAAAGGACCAGCTGTGATGAGGGCCTTTGAGCAGACAAAATACTTCACACCAGGTCGAGGCCTCCAAGGTAACATCTAATTCTGTCAATGAGAATCAGATGACAATTGGAAGGGTACATGGATATGTACCTTTTGAGCTGGGTGTTAAAGAACTGATTTTGCTTAATCTTGGCATATTCTGTAATAATGGATTGTTGAAATTCTTGTTAAGTAGATCTTATTCTTAGTTGAAAACTGGCTTCTTACACTTTTATTGCACTTTGTATGAAAGAGTTTCAGGTTTGTTGGAAAGTCAGCTTTAAATTGTAGACTCTGAACTGACTATGGAATTGCTTAAATACATCAGTTTGCAGAGGCCAGTGCCTTGGCTTGGCCTTGGTCAGAGGTGGGTCGAAATTGGAGCCAGGGTTGGTTCTAGCAGCTTCTTACAGGGCTATCTCCATACCCCTCACCCGCTACCAAAAAAAACCCAAAATCCTTCACAGAAAACCCTGTACAAATCGTATAGTAGATGTTCAATTAGATACAAGGTACTGACAAGTAAAATATTTTATGCTTGATCTGCACCATCTTAATGAACTGTACAAGGAGCACTTCAATGATTTAAAAAACAGACTAGGTCAAGCAATAAGTAATGTTGGTTTAAGTTTAATTTTCTGTTTGAATTAATTTTGCCCTTAAAAGTTTGAGAGTCCTGCTTACTCCATAGACACACTCACCTTCTATCTTAAGTACCTGGTTCAGAAAGAATCATGTTTGGGAATGCTGCTCTCTCTCTCTCCTTATTCAACTAAGTAGGGAGCTTAGATGACTGTTAGACCTGTCACCCTAGCTTTAATTAGAGTTAAATAAGTTGAGATCGCCTTGAGCTATGAAAATATTTAGGAAGAAATACTGTCTTACTGTGGCTTTCTCACAAGGTTGAAGCAGAAAAATACTCTTTTGTCCTTGCTTAGAG